GAAAGTGTCATCTTCGCGCAACTCTGCCTTGGGGTTGCGCCATGCGTTGTCTCGATGGCAGCCCTTGGTAAAACGGTATTATTCTCTCTGTGCCACGTCTGACACAGTGACAGGTGCTGCGTCCACCTTGTCCCTGGCATGTTCCACGTAAAACGCGGGCTCTAAATTGACGACGCCATTGGGAAAGTGATCCGTACCCGCGTCAGTTGACAATTCGGACCATGTGCAAAATGTTAAAGGTGCTGGGCAAACATCATGCCTGCTCAACGTCATGATTACAATCGGCCTCTTGTTACTATACCGTCGACTTAATCGACAAACGAGCGCTGGGGCGCAGATCGCACATCATGCAAATATCGCAGCCATCACCATCAAGTTAAAATGTCGGTGGTCAGCGCGTCCCCAGGGAACGAATGGCTGAGCCACTGTCCAACAGTAGCCAACGCCATGGATGTCCTGGCGCGTTGGCGCGGAAACGCACCAAGCACCGAGAGGGCAATTCTTCTTTTCGATCCAATTCCAGCAGGGAGCACTGCCTTTGCCTTTTCCACTCCCTTTGCTGCAGGTACTTCTCAGACTACCCTTGTCACTGCGAACTAGCCGCGGAACTTCTTTTGGCTGCGTTAGCCGCAACTGACCCGGCCTGTTTCTGACTTCGCCCATGCTGCTGCTACCGCGCTTTCTTTGCAGCTTCCTCCAATTTGTCGCGTCGCAGCATCTCGTCGGGAGTCAATTTCCTACGCTGTCGATCACAGGGCGGGCCACGCGGATGACCTCGGCATTTGCCGCTCGAGAAAGCATGGCCAGCCATATTCTCTTGCAGCCATTGTACAGGGCCCCCCGGCAAACTCCCCGCGTCTCTGGGCCCCGGGGTAGCGGGCCTATCTCTGAGGCCTGCCCCCCTGCCCTCGTCATCTTTATCTACCTTGGGCATCGCAGCCGGCTGGGCCGGTTGCGGGGGGGGGGGCGGCTGCCTTGGGCCACTTGCAATTGAACGGGCGCCCCTACTCCTCATCTGGGCATCGCGCGCCTTGCAGAACACACAGGCAAGCGACTTCAATCTTCGCCCGCCCGTCTGCGACCGCAGCTGTGGATTTCCCCGACGACTTCTTTGGGTCGGCGGGGCCTGGGGCGGCAGACTTGCTCTCGTGCTTTCCTCTTCGGTTCTGCGGTTGGGAATCTTCCTCCGACAGTCCAAATGAATATCATGCCGTTCCTTCTCCGTGCATTGCCGCTGTTGGCGCAGCAACCGTTCATGTGTTCTGACATCCGCTCCTACCTTGGCATTGCTCAGTCATGGAAGGCCTGCGCCATCTGCATCTTCGAAAAGATCTTCACCTCATCATATAAATGATCATGGGTCGCCGCGGCCATCTCTGGGGGTGGCTTGGGGCCTCCGCGAAGGTCGCGGCAAAGAGACATCCGCCCGCTGGAATATATATATATATATATATATATATATATATACATTCATATATTTAACATACGAATCCCCATCAAGTTTGCCCCTGGCCACGACAATTTTGAACGCATCCCGCGCCGCCGCGCCCCCGCCGTGCTCTGCGCGGACGGGCGGCAAATGACTGATCGCACGCGCCATCTCTCGCCCGGTAAACAAACGGACCCATCATGCGCATCGCGCCCCATTTGCGACATCCGCGCAACGGGGTGCGCCCGCCGCGGTGGGGGATGATTCGCCTGCCCCATCTGGGACAACTTCTCCGTCGCATCCACAACAATCAACATATCCATCCGTTCGCACTTCCCTCGGTGTCGCGGAACACCGGGGTCTTTATCGGAGCCGTTGCTTGAGCGATCCAAGGCATTGCCCCTCTGCATCAGGGGGTGTCAATGATATTGGCCGCGTCGCATGGATCTGCCATTCGGCAGGCCCCGTGGCACTGTGTATTGGCATCCGCTTGATTTCCGATGCCCCCCTCATCTGCCCCCAGAAACCCTGGGGATATGTGATGGGCCCATGCCGTCTTTACCATCACCCCCTCCAAATCCACCGGCGCGAGGTGGCCCGCCTGCTCCGCCATCTCCGCCCCCGACTGAGTCGCGAGCGTTCGGCGCCGGGACAGGCGGCCCATCTGGGGCCCCCAAATGGTTCGAGGAACTGAAGGGGCAGAGGCTCGCCGAGGAAGCGTCGCCCCAACCGTTCGAGGGCGCGCCAACAACTGTCATGCAATTCAGATGTGATCTCCGACTCAGCATGAGCCCCCCTTGTTTTGCTTTCTCGGAATATCATCGCCATTGCCGTGCATTCGCAAGGAAGTCCTTCTGTTGCTGAGCGAGCCTGGCTGCGAGCGCCCGTATCTCCCACTGCCGAGAGCGCCGATGCCCCTCCTCCGGACGTTTCTGGGCAGTTTCCGCCACGGCTTCCGTCGTGTCGCGAACGAATTGCCTCGCCGTTTGGTAATGGGGCCGATGCGGCTGTCGCAACATGGCTTGGAACATCAAATGCGCGTTATCCCCTTTCCCGTCTTAACAGCAATGATGCATTTGCACGTCTCCCGAGGCAGCGGCGACGCGCGGTCGCGGCTCTCTCTCCAAGGCCCGATGCGTTGAGCTTCCTGGCATCAAGGGCTAAGCCTCGAACGCTAATCCGCTCGACCCACCGCCCCCGGGAAGGTAAGCGCCGACTCGGGTCTCCTCGGAAATCACGTGGATGTTTGCGTTCATTTTCATTGTTTGAAGAGTGGCGGTGCGCTCTCGAAGGTCCGCTTGCTGCGCGACTGCTACGGCCTCTTCATTCGCGCGGCGAACCAGGGCAGCTGCTTGCAACGCTTTCTCTTGCATCGCGTCTTCCGCCGATCGATGAGAACTCTTCGCCTCTATCTCCAACTTCTGCAGATGTGATTTCCCTCGCTGAAGTTTCCCCCGCAGTTCTGTTTCCCTTTTCTACCATCTCTTGTTCCGCAAATTACTACAACTCCTCATTGTGCCATTCAACCTCGATCAGAGACAGCTGAGCTGCCCTCGACGCTGCCTGCCGGCCCAGATGGGCTTGCTGCGCGGCCCGCAGAAGGTCTCTTTCTCATGCTTAAGCTTCCGGAATCGTCCTTCGCGAAGTCTCGTTCCAGTGGCCAAGCCGGTCGAAAACGCGGACTCTGGGGGATCTCGCATTCCCGGGACAAGCATTTTCCGCTGATGGGTAACATCGCGGTCCTCGGGCCAGACATATCACTGTGAACGAAAGGCCCCCAGAAGATGACGCCTGGGATCCTGGGCTGCTCCTTGACCACGCGCGCATTCTAGCTGCTAGTGGCGAAAGGCACACAAGTTTCCGGATGGCGTTACGTCGAGACAACATTGCAATCGGGATGCGCCCTGGGATTTATCGCGTAGCCGGGCAATCCTGATCGCCAAGCAAACTTTGCGCCACCCTGAAATTCGGATTTGGAAAATGATGCCCCATGCTTGCTTCTTCAGGTACTTCGGGACGCTTTGCCTCAGGCGTCTCTCCTGCGTTGTGTCTTGCGTGGTCCGTCTGCGCCAGAATCAACGCATTTTTATGTATGATGGGCCAAATCTCCGAACTCCGATCATCTTCTTCCATGATAGCTGAAAGCGCATGGTCCTCATCATCTTCCCAACCCATGAATTGAACCAGCGCTGAACCGCCGTCTTCAAGTGTAGCAAAAAGGGTCATCCGTGAAAGAACCATGGGAACGACTGACGGCTTATGACACAAAACATCATTTAGCGGAATGTTCGGCGGCTCTCTTTTGCGGTCTCAAATTTGAACAAGCGCATGGATACCATTTGTATTTGTCATTTGCATGTCAGATACAACATTCGAGCTTTCGGCTGATAGCCAGCCACTTGCTAAAGGAATACGGCGCCCGGCAACAATGGGATATCATGGTGATGTTAAAGTGCCGGTCTCATCGCCCATGATGGGTACATCAGACATGTGTTCTGCGATCCGTTCACCTATGAGTAACAATATACGAAAAAACTGAATAAACGAGGAGGGATGACGACGACACCGACGACGACTCGCAGCCTTTACCCTCGCGCGTCGGCGGGCCCGCGGTGCCCGCAAGAGGCGCTCCTCCAATGCAGCCTAGATCACTGCGGCGGCCGCAGGGAACGAACAGGGAGAGAAGAGTAACAACGCCCCCCGCGGCGGGACGTGTAGGCCCACGCTTCGAATCCACCCAAAAGAGTACGTGCGCATTGACCCCCCCCCCGGCGCCAACCCCCAATTTTTTTTACAGCGCCAGGGGAGGGGTGCCGATAATCCCGCAAGATCTTCCTAAGGGAGGGCGAAAAAGACCGACGAGTCCCCCTGTAGATTCCCCACGAGCGACCGCAAGGAGGCAATAGGAGGAGGAGGAGGAGGAGGAGGAGGAGGAGGAGGAGGAGGAGGAAGATGAGGAACACAGAGAAGGAGACGAGGATGGAGGAGGTGGAAGGGAGGAAAGGGAGGAGGAGGAGTGAGGAAGGGGGGAGGAAGACCGATCTCCAGATAGTCACGTGCGACTGCTTTGGAACCCATGGAACCTCAACTTGTGGGCACCCCGCCCCCATCGCCCCCAACCAGGGAGGCTCCTCACTCCCCCGGTCGCACGCCCGCATGCGGTGGCGGTTGGGCGTGGGCTCTTGGCAGGACCGTCGCTGCATGCTGCTATGGCTCAGACCGCCGTCCTACTCCCTCCTCCGCCTCCTCACCGTCCTCCTCCCCCTATCAACCTCATGTTCATCATCATCCCCTTCCTCCTCCTCCTCCTCCTCCTCCTCCTCCTCCTCCTCCTCCTCCTCCTCCACCTCCCCCTCCTCCTCCCCCATGCTGCATACAGTCAAGCTACTTACTACCAGTAAGGAATGACGCCCCTTTTTGGCCCCAGAAGCCCCTGGGTGCACGGGGAGCGTTGGAGGAACAACAAAGGAAGGACCTTAATGAACAGCGAGCCGAGTCCGAGTCTGAATTGCCCCGTATTTCAACATCTTGACTGTCGCTGGAGAGAGCCCACATCCGAGCAGTGACAAGCCTTCTTGAACGCCTCGTGGTCTTTTACTCGATAAATGTGGCCGTCGAGCTCAAACTCCAATACGCCCTGCGAGCCAGTCTCCGTGATCAGCAGAGCTGCCTTGGGCTCAACCTGGAAGGACTCAGAATTCTAGACTGAGTTACTGTTGAGAACCAGCTAACAGAAACATGGATCCTCCGTCTTGACTGCAGCATTCAGGCATCCAGTCAGCCAGCGCATGGAGGGAACGCGAGCCAATAGGTCCAGCGACGTGTGGCTGGGAAACACTCGCTGCGGGCAGAAGTGAAAAAGCCAGGGGTAGTTCATTCCAACTACGAGGAGCTGGCATGGTACAGATGGAAGGCATGCAGTCTGGACGCACTAGATTGGGTTGGTGACCAGTGCCTTCAATGTCGTTGGTCGAAACTCACGCGCAGATTTCTGGCGGTTCCCTGGTGCTAGAGATCCGCGCAAGCTTCCGACTGCCAAGCTAGCTCTCCGATGGGCAGAACCACCTGCGCCACTACCCATCACCCAATCAGGACACGTCACTGAATGTTCTGTCATCGACCCCACCCAGAAGAAGCAACGCAACTCCCTCTCACCCTAAGCCCGGCAGGATCCTCCACACCGCCCCGAGATGTGCTCCAGACTGCCAGACAAAAAACACTGAAAACATTGACCCTCGATCCTGGAACGTCGACGAAGTCGAGAGCTGCATGACTTCTGAACCCTTGGAAGTCGTTTGGTTGGTCAAGGCGACAAAGAATTCTGTGAAAAAATACGCGTATGGACGCTCTAGCGTCCCACAGGTTGGGAAGCTGGGACGACTGCACACCGAACTCCTTGGCCGACCAAACGGCCTGGTGTATACTTCAAGCCACTCCCAAGCCCGCTGTGGCAGCAGCCCTGGGAGAGAACCTTTCCCCCCTCTGCCTTCCATTTTTACGTCCATGATGGCGACAGAAAGTATGGGTACGATGCCCAACACCAGTGACTGCTTCTGTGGAGCAAGAAGTGCTGTCCTTCAAGGCCCATCAGACAACAAGTCGAATCACTATAAAAGCGGTTCTTGATTGGTTGGAGAACAAATCCTGTCAAATGGACTGGGACTACTACGAAATGATTAGATGTGTTGCCTGTTAGTCCTCGGAGGGCAGCAAATCTCGTTCGAGATGGCCTAGTGGAACCAAACATTGCATGAACGATAACTTGCGGAGGTCCGCGCGGATTTCTCAGATCGGCGCTAGGACCCCTTTCCTGACGCGCGGAGCGCGCCAGAGGCGGCGCCAGAGGCGCCGTCAAAGGCGCTGCCAGAGACGCCGCCAGGGGTCCCTAACGCCGATCCGAGAAACACGCTCAGACATCTGGACAATTTGCTTGCGTTCGTGCAATTTCGTTGATCCTCGATGAGCAGGCACTGCTGTTGGGCATCATACCCGTACTTTCCGTTCCCATTCCGGGCGCGCCGAAATTTCACACCAGGAGGGGCACCGAAGGCACTGGCTCGCCGCTGGCGGCCGACCCCTTGTCCTCGAGCTTCGCCTCCGCGGCCCGCTCCGCCTTGGCGGGCGGCAAGGGCGCCATATCCGCGTCAGGGTCGTTCCCGCGGCGCACCTTCTCGCGCGTGGTGGCGGTGTCCCAGTCGTCGATATTCCCCTTGCGACGGCGCACGGGAGTGTACATTGGCGCGGCCTCCATCTGCCTTGCGGCGCGAAGCGGCGGGGCAGGCTTGGTGGGGAGCTTGAGCGCCTAGATACCTGCGCGGAAGCGTTGCACCCGCACTGTTTCAGCTGCCGTGACCATTGACATGTAAAAACTGGTTGTCTGAAAATGAAACTCGACGAGAGTTTCGACATACTTCTCTAACACACACAAGTTGGCCTGCCCCAAAGAGTCGACGCAGAGCGCCGCGAAGAAGGATTTCGGACGACGCAAAGGGGTTAGGCAAGCTGATTTGACAACTTCACGGCATTACTAACGTGCGTTGTTGTAGGAAGTTGGACGGGCACGTGGGCTGTTCAGTGGTGCCAGCCGGCGAATAGCCTGATTGCCTCACCTCAACTTATACGGAACCCACAGAGGACGTACGCGCCCAGCTATGTACATGAACACAGCTCCTTGATCCGCGCGACTGGCCGCGTGATACAAACATTTGCGTAATGCGTACCCTCGAAACCAACGTGGATTCATGTACGTGTACGTCCTTCTTTCGCTCCTGAGCTTAGGCGTGCAAGTTTGTGAAACGAGGCTACCTCCTGGTCAACATGCCTGATGCAACTGTCAGGCATGCTGGCCAGGAGATCGTGCTAAGTTTGGGTTCCATTTCCTGGCAATGTACTGGCAGGCCAGATCATGCTTGCGTATGTAGACCGGGCGCATGCGGCCGCTAGGCGTGCGAGAGAGCATGCAAAGAGTTTGAGATACTGCGAAAACGCAGTCAGAGTTTTAGGTATGGTAGTTTTGGACATTCCTGACCGGTTTGGCAGAGCAGGGGCCTTCAAAAGGAACAAGGGGACCCGAGTGCTAAATATGTGCCCCGCGCCGTTTGATCGCGACGCGCCCAAGTGGACGACGACAACACCACGGCAAACCCACGGCAAACCCTGCGTCCCGCGCCCCAGATAGACGAGGGCGGCACCGCGGCAAACCCCACGTAAACCCACCGCGTCCCCGGCGGAGTTTGCCCTGGTGGCCGCGGCGCCCTCCCCAAAACGGAAGGCCGCGCGTCGGAACAAACAGCGCGGCGACAGATCGGACCACCGCATTGCTAGCTTCTGCCTGTCGGAGCCGAATCCGACCGCACGGCCGCTTCCGACTGCACGCAAGAGTGACCCCAGGCAAGAGTGGCCTCGGGTGCGCGGCCTCAGGGCCGAATCCAAGCGCGCGGGCCGGTGCCGGGGCCACCCCCGTGAGCCCGCACCAGAGGTCACTCCGGCGACAGGCCACTCCTGCGCGGGGCCGACGCTTCCCGCCCCCCTCTGGGAGAGCCCGCGGGCGCAGCTGTCCGCGGAGCACGGCCCCGTCGGGCCCACCCCTGGGCAGACTCTTGGGGCACGGCCGGGGGGGCAGAGGACGGAGACGGGCGGAGGCCGAGGCAAAGGAAGAGTTGTCAGCAGCCCCGCTGGAGACCGCTGGTTGTTTTTCGGCGATGCAGTCGAGGTGCTACCAGGAGGAACGCCAAATCAGGAACGGATCCCCTTTTTGGCCCCAGGAGGGCCTGGGTGCCGGAGGAGGGCTAGAGGAACAACCACGGAAGGATCTAAGGAACAACGGACCCCTTGCCGAACCCAAAGCGGCCCTTGTCTCAGCGCCTTGACTGTAAGCCAGACTCTCTGGTGGTTTGGGTGGGAGGTGACGGCCGATAACCTAACCTCTTCGTTCTGGACTGCCACGCATGTCCGCGCGCTCCAATACTGCATGCCCTTTCGGACCTGCGCAACAGACAGGGTCGGGGGGGGAGGGGAGGGAGGACAGACCGACGAATCGGTTTATCGCTGGTTCCTTTGACAACCAACCTCAAGAGACGTCAGCAGCCCCGCTGCTCACATAACATTACGCGAGCATGGGGACGATACAGAGACGGCAACGTTCAACAGGAGAAGAAAACCTGATCGGACAAGAACTGGGAGCGCCGCTTGAGTCCAATAACCTTCTTGGGCGACGAAGAATAAAGGAAGGTATGGGCGACGGGGAGGCGATGACGAGGACGACGTGGAAAACGAGAGGACAGCGAGGAGGAGCATGAGGACAGCGAGGAGAAAGAGAAGCACAATGACGAAGAAAACGAAGGCGAGTACGAGGAATGCGGAGGACGGTGACGACGACGACCGCGACGACGACGACGACGACGACGGAGGACAGTAAGAGGCAATTGGTGAAGGACGATGAATCAGGAGAGGGCCCTGGTGACCCTATCAGGCTAACTTGGGGGCTCCTGGCGCCGCGCGGGGTTGTCTTGGAGCCTGTTGGGGGCGTTTTTTTTTTGTTGCCGTTTTTTTTTTTTTTTTTTTTTTGTTTATAATATTTTTATTCTTATTATTATTATTATTCCTAAGGCTACTGACACACAAGGTCGAACAAAAAACAAAACAAATTTGCTCCCAACGTGGCTGCTTGACAATTTCATAATGACGCCATGTCGTAACGGCGCGCCCGTGCCACCTAGCTGCGACGGCGCGTGCGGGAATGCTGTGCATGACCAGCGCAACTCAGTTCAAAGAGGCTTGGCCCTGAACGTTTGGGGACTGTAGTAAGCTTTCCTGGTTGAGGAAAGTCCCTATGTCTATGTGTCCTTCAATGCTGATGCAACACTAGGGTACCGCCGACTAAGCAGTCGAATCCTTGCGTGGAAAAGACTGCGCAACAGTGCCAGCACCCCCGACCCTAGCATTATTATGTGCATACACAATAGAGTCGCAGAGGCAAGCACTAAGCAAGCACATTCTGGGGGGGAGGGGGCGAAGGAGGATCATAGAAAGCATCCAGGTAAAATCCTTGTGATAGTAAGCCCGAGGAAGGTCATCACCCAGCCAACGAAGAATGAGCTGACGGAAATCATCGCAATATTTGTAGTGCACCATGTCATCCACCGCCCCCCTGTTGATGTTCTCTTGGTCGTGGCAGGATTGGCACCGAAAGATGCATGACTTCGGGACATCGTGAAACCGAGCAGCAGTATTAACTCCACGACAGCAAACACGAAGCACACCAAACCAAAGTGCGGCGACGATTTCGCAATGACAGCCTTGACCTGTTGTACCAGAGTAGTGACCATGCCAGGAGTGGTCTGTGGGAGCCAGTTGTGAAGGCGCGTGTAAATGTCGTCCAAGGGGGAGTCACCGGACCAGTGATGAACATACAGTTGTTTATAAAGCTTAGCTTGGAGGTGAACTGCATCAGCGGGTATGCCAATAACATCAGAAGGTTGTTGACGAGCCATGGAAAGAACTTGGGTGAGGAACGACCGCTGGAACCAGCAAGCTGGGTTGGTGTGTACATGTCGGAAAGGGATGCATTCGTCGTGCATGGTAGCGGCCTGGAGGTCCATTTGGGCTTGCCGAAGTTGGGGTACCTTCCTGAGTACCCGCAGCTGGGATGCTTTGGCCAAGGGATGTCCTTGTACTCCAATGTCATCCCGAGTAGCCTCATATTGGTAAGCATGCTATAGGAGAAGGCGTTCCTCGGGGCGGCAGGAAGAAGTTGCAGAGCAGCCTCATAAGCACGTTCAACGGCAGGGGAGACAGGAAGAAATTGAAGAAGAAATTGAAGTACTGAGACACACATCACTTGGAAGGTATGGACGATGATGGTATATCCAAGCCCCATGTTCCGAAGCTCGCGCACTCGTAGGGTGAATTTCTTCAGGGCCTTGTTCCATCCGGTGTCGCCGGCGGTGGGACCAATGACCATGCCCAAGTATTTGACCGCAGTAACAATAATGACCCGCTCAAGACCATTACCGAGGGCGTCCAGGTGAGCCTGAACATCATGAAGGTCAACTTCACCACAGAGTAGGAGGTGGCATTTCCCGAAGTTTAACTTGAGGCCGCAGGCGCTGTCCAGGATGAGGAGGGCCGATCAGATGGTGCCAATGGACAAGAAAACGTCAGCCATGCCGAAGAGGCAGTCGTCCGCGTAAGCCAGTGGACGTTCGAGCCTGTTGGGGGCTTCTTGGGGGCCTCTTGGGTCCTCTTGTGGGCTTCTGGGGTCTTCTTGGGCTGTCTGGGCGCGTCGTAAAGTTCTTTGGGGGTTTTCTTGGGCCGTCTCGGCGCCATCTTGGGCCGTCTTGGGGTTTTCTTGGGCCGTTTGGGGGCCTCCTGGGGCACTCTCAAGAGTCTCTTGGGACCCTCTTGGCCCGTCCTGGGCCGTCTTGGGGCTCTTGTGAGCTGTCTGGGTGCCTCCTGGAGCGCTCTTGGGGGTCCCTTGGGACCCTCTTGGGGCGCTCTTGGGCGCTCTTGGGGCCCTCGGGGGCGTATTTTGGGCCTCCTTTGGGCCGTTCGAAAGGTCTCCGGGAGCGATTCCCAGACGACGTCGATTCGGAGTCCCCTCCCGTCCGTTTTGTCGAGGATGTCTCGAACGAAACGGCCATGTTTCAGAAACCTGACTGGACAAGAACGGGAAGTGCAGCTCTGTCCACGAAACTTGTCAGACCGCAGGCGAGGCGAGCTGGAAGAGGCCCGCGCTGCGGCGGAGGTGGCCCAGGCTGCTGAGCTGCCGCGCTCCGCGCGCATGTGCAGGGAGGCCAACGCTACGGGCAAGGCGGAGAAGCGCCTCGGCAGGGCCCGCAAGGCCCTCGAGGCCAAGCGGGAGGCGCGCGAGGAGCTCGTCGAGCAGCTCGCCGCCCTCGACGCCGAGCTGGAGGACAAGGAGGCTTTCCGCGGCTTGGAGGCCGAGAGCCAGGCAGCAGCGGAGGGCGAGCGGCTGCGCAAGGCAGCGGAGCTCCCCGAACGCAGCCATGTGCCTGGGCTCCTCACGCAGCTCCGAGGCCTGCAGGCAGCGCGTCGTGGCAACTTCGAGTGCGCGTGGTCGGAGATCGAGAAGCAGATGTCGGCAGTGGCGGCGCAGCTCGCTCTGGGCAGCGCACCGCCGTCGCGCGACTCCTGGGCGGAGAGCTGCCCCATCGATGACGAGCTGGGCATCCGCAACGACGATGCTCCCCTCGCCTCAGCCGCAGACAAGACCAAGATCCGACGGGTTTGGCCAGCCCAGCCTGCGGCCATGCGAGGCCAGGGCGAGCGGTTCAGGGCAGCCGCGGGGCCGTGGCCTTGCGTCTCGGAGGCGGCCAGGCGCCCCGTGTCAGACGCTGAGAGGGCTCCTGCGCGGCCTGCTCCTGCAGGCGAGGGCGGCGGCGGCAGTGCAGCGGGATCCGCAGCAGTGGGGCCGCCAGGCCTCTGACCTCGAGGTCGGCCAGGTGCGCTCCCTCCCAGGGCCGAGGTGCGGCTGCCAGGTGGGCCTGCCCCTCGGCCAGTCGGGCCCGCGAGGCGACAGCGCCCTGGCCGGCTGGGAGAGCACGACTGGGGTTGGCCAGGTGGCCCACCCCGCAGGGCAGAGGGGCTCGGGCCAGGTGGGCCCGCCCCGAGGCCAGCCAGACCCGCGAGGCAGCAGCGCCCTGGTCGGAAGCCGCAGCCCGAGGAGAGGCGGCCATGTGGGCCACCCCACAGGGCTGAGGGGATGCGGCCAGGAGGGCCCGCCCCGAGGACAGTCGGACCCGCGAGGCGAGTGGCCGACAGCGCGCAGCCCTGCATAAGCCCACTGGTGCGGCCAGGAACGCAGATGCGGCCACCTGGCGACCAGGAAGAGGGTAGGTGCGGTGGGATTCAGCCCCACGTCGTCGCAGCACCTACGCTCGGCGGTGGCCGGGAGGCGCAGCAGGGCGGGCCGAGCCAGCTGGCAGGAGGAGCACGGCGAGTGGCGGCTGCTGACGCCATCATCTGGGGCCGGGTGTGCGACCTCGACCCGACGGCGCAGGCGCCAACGGTCGCTTTCGCCGAGGCCCTCGCCAGCGGCCTCGTCGTGTTGGGCTGCAACGGCAGCGGATGGCGACGCTCCTTGGAGGTGCTGGAGGGCTACGCGCGCCTGGTTGGTGCCTGGCCGCACGTCGTGACCCTCCAGGAGACCAGGCTCCTGGCGACGAGCAAGATAGCATCCGCATTTGGCACCGCTGGAGCCCTGGGCCCTCATGGCTACATTGCACGGCCTTCCACCACACCGCCAAGGCCACGGTGGGCACTGGGGCCAGCTGCACCTCGGGGGAGTCTCCGTCCTGGTGCGCAAGGATTTGACAGCGAGGGAGGTGCCTTGAACGGTGCCAGCAGGCCGCTCTCACCGATTGCTGGGAGTGGAGGTGATGATGCCGTCAGGCCTAGAGCTCATGGTCGCCTCGGCCTACTTCGAGCACATCATCGGGCCATGGGCAGGCAACCTCGATCTGCTGCGAGCGGTGGCACAGCTCACCATGGCAGCTGGGTGTACGCCGTGGCTGCTGCAGGCGGACTTCAACATGGAACCAGCGACCTTGCAGGAGCTCAGCTGGCCAGAATGTCACCGCGCAGTGGCCATCGCGCCTTGGGTCCCGACTTGCTTTGCGGCAAAGCAGGAGAAGACCTTTGACTGGTTCGTGGCGTCGCAGGACCTCGCGTACGCGGCGAGTACCTGTCGTCCTGCGCCAGGCCTGGCGCTTCACCCTCACACGTCTGTGGAGCTCACCCTCCAGGACCTGCGGCCAGACGCGTTGGTCCAGGTCCTGAAGAACCCTCGGCCTTTTCCGCATCGGGACATCAATGCCTGCGAGGCCCATGAAGATGCGAGGGTCGAGGTCTTCCGTCGAGTGGGCCGAGCGGGGAAGTGGCAGCGAGGTCCCCTCGAGTGGTGCTGGCAGCCAGGGGAGCGGCCTCGCAGCCTCGAGCTTGGCCTGCGGCAGTGGATGGCAGCAGCGGAAAGGGCGCTGATCGGTACCCACGACATCGACGAGCAGCAGTGAGGCCAGCACTGCGGCCGAGGAGGAGGGCCCGTCATGGTCCTCAAGCCGATGAGCGCCCTGACGAGACGCAGACACCGGGTGCTCCATGCCGCGGTCACTTACGAGCTGCGCTGCTTGAACGATCTTGCGCAGCAGCGGATCAAGGCGGAGGTGGCGGAGAAGTACCATGCGTCGCACGAGGGATGGTACAGCACCGAAGCTCACAGGCGCTGCAAGCGCCTGGTCATCGAGCTGGAGGCTGCGGCCAGCAGCGGGCACGGCTTCGATATCGGTGGCGACTAGGAGGAGCTGATCCACGACCCGTGCGCGAAGGGCGTCGCCGAGGCAGTCATCGTGCTACGTGGGCGGCTTGCAGCGGCTCATCGCCATGATGCCAGCAGGCCGCAGGCGGAGTGGAGGGAGTGGGCTGAGGTGGCGGTCCAGCGAGGCGGGCGTCTGGAGCACCGCTTCGCCCGCGCCACCGCCCCTCCTGCCGTCCATGATGACCCTGACTCTGGACGGCCGCTGGCAGGGACGGCCTCCTTGCTGCGGCTCAGGCAGGAGCGGCAGCGCCCATGGCTCCAGGACGGTTTCCTCGGCGGCAGGGGCGTCCAGACGTGGGGCGTGAGAGAAGCTGTCCTACCCCCCCTGTCACTGGAGGGCCTGACGCTGTCGCTACCCCCCCCAGTGCGGGCTGGGCGCGGACCAGTTCCACCCGCGCCAGATCCTCCTGCTGCCGACGGCGCTGCAGGAGTGGCTGCTGGACCTCATGCAGGAGTTTGAGGGCGCCCCCCTGCCAGGTCTGGTCGGCTGTTACCATGATGGCGTTCATTCCGAAGCCCTCAGGCGGCCTCAGGCCGATCGCGCTGCTGCAGCGGATGCTTCGCTTGTGGGGCCGCCTGCGCCAGCCTGTGTGCAGCCAGGGGAGGAGCCCACAACTTCCTTTCTTTTGGGAACGCGGAGTCTGTGGATGTGAGCTTGCAGGCAGGACGCAGGACGCACAACACGGCCGCGTCACGCGCCCAAGGACAGGGGATGGCAACTGCGTCCCTGTTCGTCGACATCGACATCTCGAAGTTCTACGAGAATGCGCGGCATGACGTGCTCTGGGAGGTGGCGGTGCAACATACTTTCAACCTGACGCTGTTGAGGGGGCTACTGGCCAGCTACCAGAGCCCGCGCTGTGTGGCCATGGCAGAGCTGTGCACGGTGGCGTTCACCACCAGCGGCGCGATCCTGGCCGGCTGCGCGTGCGCCACTGCACTGGCCAACTTGCCCATGCTGGGCCCGCCCCTGGCGATGACGGTTGGCCGCCCCCTCATCTGCCCCAGGAATGCGGTCGACGACGTGCCCCTGCAGGCCATCGGCACCGAGCGCCTGGCGGTGCAGCAGCTCAGCGAGGCGGGGGCCCAGCTGGTCTCCATGCTCATGGCGCAGCACCTGCCCGTCAACGCGGCCAAGACCCACCTTCTGGCCAGCACCCCAACAGTGGCGGGAGGGCTGAAGGAGAGGTGGCAGCTTCACGTCTGGTCCTTCAGCCAGGAGCTGCAGGCCAGGAACTTCGGCATTGACGCCTGCATGGCGCGCAGAAGGGTTGCCGAGAGCGCGGCCAGGGCTCGGCAATCCCTCAGAAGTGGCCGCAGGATGCAGAGCATGAAGGCAGCGGGGGTTCGTGTCGACGCTGTCTTCGAGACTGGGCCCTCGTCCAGCTTCCTCTGGGGGAGGGCGGTCGTCGGCATCCCAGTCGGCGACCTGCGCAGCATGCGCATTGCTGCATGCAGGAGTGCGGGGCGCCTGCACAACGGTGAGCCCCTGGGGCCGCGGCTGTGCGCGGCGGAGGCGCTGCGTGGCAGGGATCTGGGCCCCGAGGCGGTGGCGGCGGGCAGGGCCGCGTCGATGGCGGCGGCAGTCCTGCAGAGCGGCGCTATCTCGCAGCCCACGTTTGTGGCGGAGGTGGACCGCGCGGCCACCCGCCAGCGTGCGGCGACGGCCCCTTATGCCCTCGGGTGCACTGCCGCTCGCCCGTCGACGCCCTCATTCTCACGCTCGGACGCATCGGCTGGGGCGTGCGCGGGACGGACCTGGTCGCGGACTTCGGAGGCGTCCTAGGCCTGACCTCTCTCGGGCCCAAGGACCTCATGACCGAGGCAGAGAAAGGAGCGCGGAGGGCCTCTGACAGGCGGGAACTTGGCCGCCTGGCCAATGGCGGGCGGCATTGCCACCTTCTCTTCTGGGACGCCATCTGCGAGCTGATCGGGCCCCGCGGCTCCCTCGGCCACAGAGAGAAGGCGGGCTTCGTTTCGGTCTTCACGAACGCCCGCTGGCCCCAGCAACGCCTCCTGGCGGCCAAGGAGCGCGACCACGGGTGCTGCCTCCTCTGCGGTGCGGAGAGCGGCACGCTCTTCCATCGCCTGTTCGAGTGCCCAGCGCTGGAGGCGGCCGGGAGGGACAGCTGCTCCGTGCGTTTGAGGCGTTGTGCTCAGAGAGTGGGGCAGCTTGGGGAGGCGGCCGCGGAGGACGTCGCTGGCTGCTGGCTGCCTGCCCCCATGCTTCGCCTACCTGGTCTGGGCAGTGGCATGGAGAGTCGCTGGTTTCACACGCCTGATGATGGATTCCTGCGTGGGCGGCTGTTCCTGGACGGGTCGGCGCCCGAGCCGACACACGCTGGTCGCGCCAAGCTGGATGGGCGATCTGACAGGTCAGCGAGGACGGCACCTTGGAGGCTGCCTCCTATGGCACGGTGAGGGCCGACCTGTGCCCGCAGCAGACGGCCAAGAACGCCGAGGACTTCGCCAGCTGGATGCTGACTGAGGTCGCGGGGTCTGGGCGGCACATCCTGCACGTCGATTGCGCATCCACGGTCCCTTGCCTGAGGCGAGGGCGCCGGTGCGCCACTGGCATTGGTCGACCTGGCACCCACCTCTGGAGCAGGTTCTTCGCTGTCTCTGGGCCCGAGGACTACGAGGTTCGCAGAGTACCAGCTCACCTGGCGCGGGCGCAGGTGCAGAAGGGGCGTGTCTCAGAGCAGGAGTGGGGTGGCAACAGGTCTGCGGACATCTACGCCAAGCTCGGGCCCTCGCTGCATGCTGTCCCGCGGGAGGTGCTGGTCCACTTCAAGGCTTTCGCGCCGATCGTGGCGGAGCTGGCGCGGCGGATCGCCCAGGTCTCCATCCTGGTGCAGCAGGGCGGCCTACGCAACGCGCAGGGCTTGCCTGAGGGGCTGGAGAGGAGGAGGCCTGTGGTGACGTTCGACGGCGACCCGAGCTTCCACCCTGCGGAGGTGGCCGTCCCTGGGTTGGCGCCCAAGCGTAAGCGCTCCATGGCTTGGGTGCGGGGCCGCTCATCGTGCTGGGCCACTGCCTGCGCTACGCTGTGGCCGACGGCGCGGACGATGGGCCCACGGCGGAGCGCCTGATCAGCTGCAGCCGCTGCGGCGCCTACGCTGGCATCGACGGAGGGCCCAAGCTGCATGAGGAGTGCTTGGGCTGCCCTCCCAAGGGGCCTAAGGGCAAGGGCGGTCGCGACCAGCTCAGCCTTTGGGATCGGGGGCTGCACCCAAGCGGCCGCAGAGGGAAGAAGAAAGCCGTCAGGATGCTGCGCCAGATGGGCGTCACCAGTGAGCTGAGGGGCGGCATCCTGGCCTGGTTCGGCGCGCTGCCCGAGGAGGCGGGACCCGCGGCGGCCGACGCGCCCGCTGGCCGCGAGGGGGACGGGGGAGGGACGGCCACCTCCCGCGCGTCGAGCTCGTCACCAGCGGGTGGGCTGCGGGCGGCCGCCCCCCCAGTGCGCCGTCCAGCGGCGGCAGCGGCTCCCATGGGGACGGCCGAGGCCGCCATCAGCCGCCCAGAGGCCATGCTAGCGGTCGGCCTGGACGAGAGCGGCCTGGCCGACTGGGCGCAGGAGGTCGCGGCGGCGGAGGAGCGCAAGCGGAGACGCCTCGTGGGCCCCCCGGAATGAGCTGAGGGGTGGAGAGCGTGTGGCGGCGGTTGGCCGCCCATGCGAGGACTCTGCGCTGCCTGCCTGTCGAGGCAGCAGCACTTCCAGCGGGCCTCCGCAGAGCCAAAAGGTCATGCGAGGCGCTGACGCGCCCCCTCCGCCCCCCAAGCGTGTGGCCCAGTGGGGCAGACCACAGCAATATAGCAGACCACCGCAGCACGGCAGACCACAGCAGCATAACAGACCACAGCAGCACGGCAGAAGACCAGCACGGCAGACCAGCACGGCAGACCACAGGAGCATAGCAAACCACGGCAGCACGGCACACCAGCAGAGCAGACCAACACGGCAGACCAGCACGGCAGACCAGCACGAGCTTCGTACGTACATAGATAGCATCGAAAACACCTCATCCGAAGCTGCATTTGTTCGAGGATGTCTGCAGCGAGAGCCTCGTTTTGAAAAAAAACGAAGAATTCGCGAGCAACTTCAACACACCATTTTACTGAGGATATCTGCAGCCAGAGCCGCACTCTTTGGGAACATCGTCGCAGGGCGGATCCTCCCGCGTGCGCGGTGTGGGAGGATTTCTCAGGCGAAACGCTTGTTTTTGCAAAAGACAATGCTGGTTAATTCGTAGTGTGGTGAGGATCTCCTGAGCGAAGTTGTCGTTCCCGGTCGCCTTGAAGGCGCTCTTGGGGTCAGATCGAGGCTAGTATTCGGCTCTTCGGGGCCGTCTCTATGCCATAAGCAATGATTCCCATGAGATGCTCGACACATATCTTTGTTGGGAATGCCCCGAGCGAAATCGTCAATTAAAGGCCGATGTCGGTCGTCTTGAAGCCTTTTCGAAAGCGATTACAAGACAATGTTAGACCAACCTATTTCAAAACGGTGATATCGCGTTTGTCATTTAATTGAACATGCCCCTAGCATTTTCGGCAGTGCTCTTGGAGTCATGGTGGGGTCCTTTGGGTGATTGTTTGTCAGCTTGCAGCATTTCAAAAAACGATATCAAGACGATGTTGAGGCCATACCGTTTTTTGAGGGCGTCCCCAACGAAAGGGGGCCTAGACTGCCGTGCTGGTCGTGTTGGTCTGCCGTGCTCCAAAGCATGCTCTTAAGATGCCCTTCGCGAAAACGTTGTTTGACCATAAGGGGAACTAAGCCACCCCTGTCGACGTCTTCCTTGTTCGAGGATGTCTCAGGCGAAACGCTCGTATCTACGCACATCGAAAATCATCGACCTTATCGTTTGGAGGATGTCTCATGCGAAACGCTCGATGTTGTGAAAGACGATGTTGCGAACATCTCAATTGTGTGAGGATGTCTCAGGCGAAATGCTCATGTGGGAAACCTTTCCTGACATGAACGGGCAGCGCGTGAAACCGAAAAGCGTGGCAAGAACATGCAACAGCATCGAGAGCGACTTTGGCATAGGCGCTCTTCCCGAGCATCCACAGGGGGTATCAGGTGGAGTTCACTACCCGCACAAATTCAGGCAGATGAGAGACACTCCGTATCCTGGCCATGATGCTCGGGGAAGGGGGTCCTGGAGCCCAGGTGCTCTTCGTCGTCGTCGTCGTCCTCCTCCTCCTTCTCCTCCTCATCCTCCAACCGAGTCAAGAAAAAATCGAGCCCGCCAAAAACAGTCACCAAACGCCTCGGGTGACTGTTTTGTTGCGGGCGCCTTTGTGGCCAACCGGGGAAAGCTGAACTCGCGCGGGGAGTGAACTCCACCTGCTCTGGGCGATGGAGGGGCGGATCCCCGCGGGTGGTCAGGACCAAGAACAGGTGGAGTTCACTTTCCGCTTGAGTTCAGCGACACGCGCGAACTGACATGGGCAGCAAGCTCAACCTGGCACACCTCGCGGTCAATCGGGGAGGGCTGACCTCGAACTGGGAATGAACTTCACCTGCTGTGGCTGTAGTGCAGGCGCTTTCCCCGAACATCCACTGTGATATCAGTTGGAGTTTACGTCCGCGCAAGTTCAGGCGAAGCCCCAGAATGTTGAATAACACAATAGTTCCTTCCATCTGTTCAAAGCCCAGCCCTACAGACCCTAACCCTACATACCCGAACCTGCATCGGCATGTCCAACATGACCTGATTGTTTCGAGGACCCGTTCGAAGGCATGTGTAGGGGGATGTCTCGAGCGAAACGCTGATTTTTGAACGACAGTGTTGAAACCCATGTGTTTTTTCAATAATTTCGCTTATGGGGCCATCTTGGAGCGAATCCGAAAGCGCTCTGATTGGATGCCTGAAAAAAGCTCGTGGCGCATCCCATTGTTTCAAGGATGTCTCCAGCGAAGCTGCATTTTGAAGGTCCGAAAACTAGAACAACGATTTCAACACCCCCGGTTTCCGTCTCGGGCGAAGCGCTCAGTGTTAGTATGAGACGTCTTACGATAAGAGCACCCGCGAAACGCCCATTACTGAGAACCTTTACCGGCATGAACAGGAAGCGCGTGAAAGCGACGAGCTCTGCAAGAGCGTGCAACATCATCACTATAAAATGCTATCGCATCTCAACACGATCCGCCTCCAGACCCCACAACCCCACTCAAGATCCCCTATGTCAGGTCGAGTTTAGTTTCCGCGCAAATTCAGAAACAACGCACCTTCCACTGGCGCACCTTGGCAGTATGAATCTCCAGACCCCCTTATCTCACCACTCGCGTTCGCCTATGTCAGGTAGAATTTACTTTCCGCGCGAGTTCAGACGAAGCGCACCCCCCGCTGGCACATCTCGGCATTATCCGTCTCCAAACCCTCAGCCTCCCCACTCGCGCTCCCCAAGTCGGCTTTGCTACGCGCGCGAGTTCAGACGAGGCACACCCCCCGCTGGTGCATCTCGGCATTATCTGTGTCCAGGCCCCCCACCTCCCCACTCGCGCCCCCCCATGCGAGGTGGAATTTACTTTCCGCGCGAGTTCAGACGAGGCGCGCCCCCCGTTGGCGCATCTCGGCATTATCCGCCTTTGGACCCTCAACCTCCCAACTCACGTTCCCACATGTCAGGTCGAGATTTCTTTCCGCACGAGCTCAGGCGAGGCGCATCTCCCGCTGGCGCATCTCAGCATTATCCGTCTCCAGACCCGCAACGTCCCCCACTCGCGTTCACCCATGTCAGGTCGAGTTTGCTTTCCTCGCGAGTTCAGACGAGGCGCACCTCCCGCTGGCGCATCTACGATGACGACGACGATGACGATGACGACGACGACGACGACTGCGATGATGACGACGACGATGACGATGACGACGACAGTGACGACGACGACAATAACGAGGAGGAGGACGACGACAACGACGATGACGATGATAATGACAACGACAACGGCAACAACAACGACGACGATGCAAGGTTGATGATGGATCGAGCAAACAATATACGTGCTAGCAAAATGGTTGGGTTGTTTTCCAATAGTTTGCCTCGTGGGCCGTCTTGGGGGTCCTCCAAAAAAACGCCTCCAATATATGTCGCAAGACAGCTTATGACACATCGCATTGTTTTGAGGATGTCTCAGGCGGGAGCCTCGTTTTTGAGAATACGACTAATTCGCAAGCTCCCTGGGCATCTCCATTTTCAGAGGGTGTCTCGGGAGAGAGCTACATGTTTAACATAAGAGGTCTAATCACAGCTCTTTCGGCACCTATGGGTTCGAGGATGTCTCAGGCGGAACACATAGTTTTGGAGATCGGCGACTTTCGCTAGAAATTTCAATATCTCCACTTCGCGAGGATGTCTGTAACGAGAGCATCAGTCGTAACAGAAAGAGCCCTACAATAGATCTTCCGAGATCTCCATGTTGTAAAGATGTCTCAGGCCAAATCACCATTCTGGATAACCTGGCCGGACAAGAACGGGAAGCGTCGCTTGTGTCCACTAGGTATGTGAAATATGCTCGCGTGTTGGTCTACCGCGCAGATGTGTCGTGGCGTGCGTGCCTTTGCGCGTGCGCGTGCGTGCGTGGAGTCTGCGCATGTGTGTCTGTGCGTGGTGGTCTGCGGCACTGCTGTGTTATGCCGCGCTGCTATGCCGAGTTCTTGCGGTCTGCGTTAACGTATGTTGCCTTTCTCTGTGTGTGCGTGTGTGTGTGTGCGTGTGTGTAAGCGTCTATGTGTGCGCGTGCGTGTGCGTGTGCGTGTGCCTGTGTGCGTGCGCCTATGTGCGTGTGAGTGTGGGTGCGGCTGTGCGAATAGGATGTTCTGTGAGTTCTGCCGTGTTCCTGCGTGTTCTGCCGTGCTCCTGTGTGTTCTGCCGTGCCCCTGTGTATTATGCCATGGTCCTGCTCTGCCGTGCTCCTACGTGTTGTGTCATGTTCCTGTGTGTTCTGCCGTGTTCCTGTGCGTTCTGCCGTGATGCTGCTTGCTCTGCCGTGCTCCTATGTGTTTTGTGTGTTCTGCCGCGCTCCTGTGTTTTGCCATGCTCCTGTGTGGTCTGCCGTGCTCCTGTGTACTCTGTGTGTTCTGCCGTGCTCCTCGAAATCCTGCGTGTTCTGCCGTGCTCATATGTGCGCTGCCGTGCTGCTGCGTGTTCTGCCGTCAATTCCGCCGTGCACCTGTGCGTTATGCCGTGCTCCTGTGTGTACTGCTGCGCCCCTGCATGTTCTGCCGCGCTCCTGCTTGTTCTGTCGTGTTCCTATGCGTGTTGTGTGTATGTTCTGCCGTGCTCATGCGTGTTAAAGTTGAAATTAAAGTTAAAGACGGGGCCTTCAAGGCACAGGGAAAGGAAAACGGGGACAGGGCCAGGCGGGACCAACGTTCCCGAGAGACGCCGAGCCCCAAGCAAGCGAGCCACGCGCGCCTACTCACACGGGAGCAACAGGCGCGGGCGGACAGGCGGGAAGGCCTTCACTCACTCCCCGACGACTCCGAGCCGCGGCGCGCCAGGCGGCGGCGGACCCTACGGCTCACCAGGCCGCCGCCAGGCGCGGCGCCCGCGGCTGCGCGCTCCCCCTCGGCGGCCTCACCTGCGCCGAGGGCGCCAGCACTCGGGCCTGGCCGCTGTTGGGGAAGGCTGGCAGCCGCCGCCTCCGCTGCCCGCGCTGCCGCGGGAGCCGCTGGGCCGCTGCCCGAACTGCTGGCCGCGGCTGAGGCTCCGCCTGCAGGCTCCGCCCCCATGCCGAGCCACCCCAGGTAGCGCTCCTGGGCGCGTCCTGGCACTGGCCCTTGCGAGCGCAAGGCAGGGGTGCCCTCTGCTCTCACTCTCTGCTTGTCCGCTCGAGGCCTGCCACCAGGATGGGGCCCTCGCTCCCACGGGCTGCGCTGGTTCCTGCCCGACTTGTTGGTCAGGTAGCTGAGCCCTGGGCACTGCACCTTCAGGCGAGACTTGCCTCCTGCGTGGCTGCCCAGCACCCTGTAGGCGCCACACTTGGCGCACGCCACGATCTCCTGGGTGTCCCCACCTTCGCCCGCGCAGGCATAGCTGAGCACGTGCCCCAGGATGCTGAAGGCGACAGCGGTGGCCGAGAGGGCGGCCGTGCTGCTCCCCGTCGAGCGGCTGTCCTCCAGGCGTGGCCGCGTGGCTGGAGCGCCGCCGCCGAGGGCCTCACCAGCCTGCGGGGGCTCCGCTGCCGCCGCGGACTGCACCTGGCCGATCCCGCCAGCAGGAGGGAACCCTTCGCTGCTCAAGGCCGAGCCATCGACGTACTGCTTGCCGTAGTGTCTGCCAACACCAACAGGCGGTCGACTCCACCAGCTACGCATCGCCACGAATGCGTTGGGAATGGAGGCACCTCGCGCGTGCCGCACCTTCACGTACCGCTCGACTCCTGGCCTGGGCAGCAGCCCGATGGCGCCCCCGAACAACTGCCAAAGCAAGAGGGGCCTGCAGTAGAGGTTCCGCCTCTCATGGCGGTAGAAGGCCTGCAGAGCACACGTGCTTGCCACCGAGCTCATCGCCCGCGGCTCGAGGGACATGGGATCGAACTCGTCACCGAGGTCCATGACCATGCACCACTCCGGCTCGAGGCACCAGACGACGCTCCACTGGGTTCGCACCACCGCGCCGACGGGCGAGGCACGGCGCGCACCTGTGGCGGCTGTAGCGCACCTGGCTGCTGTCGCCTCCCGTCCCTGAGCTCGCGCCCTGAGTGGCTGCTCGGTAGGCTGCTGCGGATCCGCAATCCTGGCCATCGTCTCGGGATGCCCAGGTACGCCTGCTCTGCCCATGGAGTCGCTCCACTCGCTAGTGCCGAACTCAAGGGCACCAACCACGTTCTCCTCGGCGCACAGGAGGATGAGGACACAGCTGGGCCCTGCAGCGCGCTCCTGGCCCCTGGGCGGGTCGAGGACGCCCATGTCGTGGAGCTCTACCAAGTCGCTCTCGACGACCTCGGTGCCGCTCTCGTGCAGCCGCAGGCCCGCCGCACAGGCCTCGCTAGGCGCTCGCTGGCCCTGGCTGCGCCCCTCCGACGCGGCCCCCAGCGGACCTGCGAGCAGGATGAGAAGCCAGAGGAGCCAAGTCCGCTGCCTCTGCAGCCAGCTCCCGCTTGCATGCCTGGGCCACCGTCGGCCACTCGCCCAGCGCCTTGCCGCGCCGCTCGGCTCGGCCTCGCTCCGCTGCTGGCTGAGGCTGCCAGGGGCCGCCGCCGTCCGCGAGATCGCCATCGTCGCTGCTGATCTCCTCCATGGGGCAGGACTCGGCCCACGGCGCGCGCTTGGGGGCCACTGGGGCCCCCTCGAGCTGCGCCCGCACTGCCTCCATCTGGGCGCGAATGGCTGCCCGAGCCACCTCGAAGTTGCTGGAGCCCCATGCCTCTGGCAACTTTTCCAGCTAACCCTGGCACCTGGCTGGCTCCTGTCCACTCGGCTGCGCGCTGGCGGCGCAGCGCCTCAGCCTCCTCACGGGCTGCCTCCTCTAGCACCTGGAGCGCACGGGTCGCCTCCTCCACCTCCGCGTCGAGCTCCGCGAGCTCCTCCTGGGCCTTCTGGAGCTGGGCCTCGACGAGGTCGCGCGCCTCCTGCTTCTGCTCGAGCTCCAGGCGGGCTGCCCGGAGCCGCTTCTCACCCTTGCTGATGGCGTTCGCCTCCCTGTGGGGCCGCGTCGCCCATGGCAGGGGAGAGGCCTTCTGCTCCGCTGCTGCCTTTTGGGCCCTGACCAACTCGGCACGCTTCGCCTCCAGCTGGCTGGCCACGACGTCGGTGAAGCAGCCGTCCACTCCGTCGGGCGGCTCGGCCTGCAGCGCCTCGAGCTGCTCGACTGCCGCCTGGAGCCTCTCGATCGCCGTGGCGCCTCCACCGCTGGGCGTCCCACTCGCTGCCGACGCCGAGGTCTGCGACTTGGTGGAGGCTGCCCGCGAGGCCGCGCCGCGGGCCTGCCTCTGGGCACGGCGCCCACGTGGCTGATCCACCCAGCCGTCCTTGTCCGCCTTGGGCCTCGCCTTGGCTGGGGGCGTCCCCATCGCCCAAGGCGGGGCCGCATACCCGCAGCCAAGGCACGAGGTGCGCCAATCCCAGTTCCATCCGCCGCAGCTGCACATCCAGTAGGACTTGCTGCACCTGCTGCTGCCACCGCCGCGCGGGGACCTCGCCATGGCCACTGCCGCGCTGGCCGAAGGGCTGCGCCTCCGCGCCGCGAAAGCAGGGAGCACAAACACGAAATGCACTGGCCCAAAGCGCGGAGACCCTCGCGCTCAGAGCGCCGCGAACGACTCGCGGTCGTCGGGTTCTCCATGGCCTTGAGCCAAAATGGCTACGGATTGTGCTCATGTGTGTTCTGCCATGCTCCTGCGTGTTCTGCCGCGCTCCTGCTTGTTATGCCGTGTTCTGCCGTGCCCCTCCTGCTCCTGTGGTGTGCCGTGCTTCTGTGTGCTCTGCCGTGCTCCTGTGTGTGTTCTGCCCTGTTCCTGTGTGGTCTGTGCGTTCTGCCGTGCACCTGCGTGTTCTGCCGTGCTCCTGTGTGTTCTGCCGTGTTACTATGTTTTCTGTGTGTTCTGCCGTGCCCCTCGTGCTCATGTGTGTTCTGCCGTGCTCCTGTGTTCTGCTGTGCTCCTGTTTGTTATGTTTTGCTCCTGGTTGTTCTTTGGGTTCTGCCGTGCTTCTGCGTGTTGGGCTGCCGTGATCCTGCCAATGTTCTGAAGATGTCTCTGGCCAAAAGCTCAGTTGGAACATGCATGGTCTTAAATCAGCCTTCTCAACATCGTATTGTTTCGAGAATGTCTCAGGCGACATCCCCATGGACATACGTGTGTTACATTCGCTGTTTTCATTGTCTGGTAGATGTCTCAGGCAAAATGCTTGTGTTTGTGAAAGGCGGTGTTGCGAACAACTCGTGTGTTTTGGATGCATCGGGCGAAATACGCATTTTGAGGAATTTCGAGGGCGCTCCTGGAGTCATATTTTGGCTCGGTTGGGGCTCGTTGGGGCTCGTTCGGGGCCGTTTCGATGCCATCAAAAACGATGTCAATGCGATGTTACACACATCTCGTTTTTGAGGATGTCCCTTGCGAAATCGTCATGGTTAGAAGCCTGGCTTGGGCCATCTGGAAGCCTTTTCAAGAGCGATCCCAAGACGATGTTAGAACAGCAGGTTTGAAAACGATGCTTTGGTATACTTTCATTTGTTTGAGGATGTCCCTCGCGAAATCGTCATGTTCGGCAGTCATCAGGGCACTCTTGGAGCCATATTGGGAGCATATTTGGGCTGTTATTTCTTCATCGTGAAAGCACTTCGCCCCGGGGCCATGAGCGACAACTGCAGGGACCAGGTCTGCGAGCGAAATAACAGTGCGGCCGACACAGCCACCGGCGCCAGGCGCAGGTGTGACGCTGCCATGTCTTCATCGTTGGGCTGTAATTTCTTCATCGTGAAAGCACTTCAAAAATGGTGTCGACACGATGTTGAGAACATCGCATTTTTTTGAGGACGTCCCCAGCGAAATGCAAATTGTCTACCGTGCTCTTTTTTCTGGTCCGCCGTCCTGCCTCTCATTTTCTGAAGACCTCCCTCGCGGAAACGTAGTTTTCAACATAAGAGGTAGTAATGCACCTCCGTCTACACCTCATTTGGGTTAGGGTGTCTTAGGCGAAATGCAAATTTTCACAGATGCATGAATTTCGCGGCGATCAGCGTTTCGAGGATGTCTCGAGCGAAACGCTTGTTTCTGTTAAAGGCGGTGTCGCGGAGATGTCATTTGTGTGAGGATGTCTCAAACGAAATCGCTAGTTTGAGGAACCTGTCTTGACATGAACGGGAAGCGCGTGGAATCGATGAACTTGGGAAAAACTTGCACCAACATCAAGGTCGCATGTCGCGTAGGCGCTCTTACTGACCGTCCAAAGGGGGCGCCAATTGGAATTCGCGACCCGCGCAAATTCAGACGTGCCGTTTACCCGACCTTTAAAAACAGGTATCCCATGGAGTTCGCTGCCCGCGCACATTCAGACGTGCCGATGACCCGAACGTTCAAAAAAAAGATACCACATGGAGTTCGCTGCCCGCGCGAGATCAGACGTGGCGAGGAGAAGGAAGGGCAGGAGGTGGGATGAGAACGACGAGGGGGAGGTTCAGGAGGAGGACGAAGACGATGAGCAGGAGGAGAAGGAGGGAGAGGAGGAGGAAGAGGAGGAGAAGAACGTGAAATCGAAGAGCTTGGCAAGAAAGTGCACCAACATCAAGGCCGCACGTCGCGTAGGCGCTCTTCCCGAGCGTCCACAAGGGGTGCCAAATGGCGTTCATTTCCCGCGCAATTTCAGACGTGCCGCTTGCCCCGAGCGTCCACAAAAAAGGGTACCACATGGAGTTCACTACCCGCAAAAATTCCGCCGTGCCACACCTCCCGAACGTCAATAACAAGTACCAAGCGGAGTTCGCGTCTCGCGCAAGTTCAGACGTGCCGCGTACCCGAACGCCCACAAAAAAACGTACCAGGTGGCGGTCGCTACCCGCGCGAGCTCAAACGTGGCGAGGAGGAGGAACTGCAGGAGGTGAGGTGGGAAGGAGTAGCAGGAGGAGCAAGAGGAGGACGAATAGGCTGAGCAGGAGGAGGAAGAGGGGGAGAAGGAGGAGGAAGAGGAATAGAAAAGAGATACAAGGAGAATGACGAGGAATAGGAGGAGGAACATAAGATGAAAAACGAGGACGAGGAGGAAATCTGATGGTATCGAGGACCCGTCCGAAGGCAATGTTTGGAGGATGTCTCAGGCGAAACGCTCTGATTTTAACAAATCGGTTGAACGCTCATGGGTGTTTCAATCATTTCGCCATGCTCGGCCATCTTGGAAGTCATCCGAAATCGCTCTGACAAGATACATAAAACAGCCGTTGCACATCCCACTTGTTCGAATCTGTATCAGGCGAAACGGCCTTCGCCGAAGATTCGGCACCTACGCCGTTGATGTCTTCATCCTCGTTTCCCGAGGATGTCTCAGGGGAAACGCACATTCTTAGCATAATGCATCTTGAACGATGGCCTCCAACATCCCGATTGTGTCAGGATGTCTCATGCGAAATAGCCATTCTGGGTAAGCCTTTTCTCGACATGAACGGGAGGCGATTGAAACCGAACAGCTTAGCAAGGAGGAGGAGGAACAGGAGGGGAAACAAATGCGTCATATATATATATATAAGAAAGCAGATTGCTTTGCGACGCGTGGCCGCGCATCACCTTCCTGACGCCAAAGCGTGTGCAAGGCCTCCTGGCTACCAGCTGCCCTCCTGGCCAGGTCATAAACATTGCGTTCCCAACAGCTCCTCGGTCGGCCTCGTTTGCGGCGACCACTCCGCCAGCGCAGATCGAAACTCGCCGGCGCGTGCGCACACACCGTCTCACAACGCTGTCCTCTGGGAGCTGGGCGACTTTGCCCATGAGCACGACTTGGCGGTAAGCCACATGGGAACTAAGCTTTTGGTTCTTGCGAGTCTGAAGCACGGTAGCATTGGTAACGTGACTATACTATGAATGTGGGATGCCCGACAGTTTGCGCAGGCATCGCGCTGGAAAAGAATCCAACTTTTTACACTCTGGTTTCTTCAAACAGAGCGTGCGCATGCAATACATTGATTTGAACACTACGCATGCGTCAAAGAACGTAACATGTTTCTTCAAAGGGACTTTGTTGTGCTCCGATACCTGGCAAAATTCTTCAAAGTCCTGGTCAACTCAGGCCCACCTCCTCCGCCAAGGCAGAGTAAACCTCCAAAGTCCGTCGTGTTTTCTTTTTGAAGTATTGCCTGACCATCCGGCCGTCGGATGTGGGGCTGGCAGGCGTAGCGGAATAATTTCAACTTTGCTCCAGTTTTAAGATAAGCCGTAGTGCTCCCCCGCGTCCCTCGCGCACATCATCAACTGCGAGACAGATGCTTCCTCGGCGCCAATGAGAAGTGCGTCGCCCGCGTAGATGAACTCGTCGAAAGGTATGTCGTCATGTCGATGGAGGCCTAGCGTCTGGAAATGTCGCGTCGCGTCGTGCATCAGCACGCTCATCACGATCGAAAATAAGAACGGAGACAACGGGCAACCCTGAGAGATGCCGAAGGCCTTGGGCCACGGGCAAGAAGTCTCACCATAATCACGGACGCAGAAAGTCCTGTTCTCGTAGATCCCTTTTCACGGCAGAGGCGAAGCGTGCTGGAACCCCAGAGCATCTTAATGCCTGAAGAAGTCTCTTGGGTGACACGCTGTCGAAGGCCTTGGCCCAATCAGGGGCGAGCAGGAGCAAGCCTCCGGAGGCCATGTCCCTGGCGTCCTCGATTAGCCGCCTGGCGACGAATAGTGTTTCCGTGTTCGCCGCCCAGACCGGAATCCAAACTGCGTGCCCCAGATGCGGCCTTCGGCGCCAGCGCGCTTCAAGCGGGAAAGCAAAATCATGGCGTAGAGCTTGTAACCGATGGGCAAGAGACATATTGGTCTGTAGTTTGCGCAGTCAGCGCTGTCGCACTTTTTGAAAATGGCCGTCACCACTACTTCGTGCCACGCCTCAGGAACAGATGTCTGTCCAGCATTTGTCGCAAAACAACACAGCCCATTCACATGCCGGTGTGCCTGTATGGCAAATTGCTTTCCGAAATTCGGCGGGTACGCCGTCCTTCCCGGCGGCGCGCCCTCTCCTCAGCGCGCGCGCTGCCGCGCAGACCTCGGGCTCCGTGATCGCGCCATCCGCGACGGGCAACGAAAGTCCCAGCGGCTCCGAACTGTCCATCGCAGTTACTGGCCGGAAGGCCCACTGGACTGTGGCGAAGTATTCGGCCAATGTCTGCGCCCGTTCGTCACTATCAACTGCTCTGCCCCGTACGTCGCGCAACCACCCTTGAGTCGCACCACGCGGTCTTCGAAGCTTCCGCACCTGCTCCCAATCACCGGTCTCCAGCTGTTTGTCGAGCCAATTGCTTCTGTCGGTCTTGATGGAAACGTTAATTCTGCCATGTAGTCGCTTCTCGAGATCAGCGCCCCCCTGCCGCCTGGCCTCGTTCCACTGGGTGATCAGCTCCACAGTGGCGCCCCAGAACCAAACAAAAACGCTCTCCAGACCCAGATCCCCGACGTCATGATTTTTCCATGGCGTCGACCCGCTGAGGTCTAGACTCATTCCCCGG